CCATTACTCCCCCCCCCCAACCCCGGTTCGCACTAGCCCTACACTAAGCATACCTATAAACGTATAACTCTAACTTATGTATTTGTTTGATTAATATACTTAATATTTATCCCATGCCAAAGTGTTTTTTTTACAAAAAATGTGTACACTGAGTTAATATAATTGAAAAACAGAGGAACCCCGCTATAACACGTCCCTAGAGCCGATTCGTGACTTTTGGCAGCCCCAGTTTATGACCTTTGGATTCAAAGTTAATAATTAAAAAAATATTCCACATCAAAGCTTTAGGCCCCTAAATTATCTGAGGCCCCCTGCCCAGGACCATCTTTACAGAAGCTGAGGCCCTGGGCACAGTAATGCACAAAGGTCCCTATCCCTCTTTATACTCAGGGTCGTGTGAAAAAGGGGGAGAGAGGGCCAATCACCACTGGCACCAATGTCAGTGGATGGCAAAATCGTCTTAAGATGGGCCCTTAATAGTGATTTAAACGATAAAATCCTATGAACTTCACATAGACAGGGGCGTCGAAAGGCCTAGGTTGGCCTATGCATTTTGACCCTTTCCTTTTTAGGTAATTAATTATTCCACGGGGGGGGGGGGGGAAGAGTGAGTATTTCAGGGGTTGGGGGTTATCGTTCGGAGAAGAGGGGGGGGGGCATAGCATCTATCAGCACCGAAATTAGGAATTAAAATGCCCATGGCCAGCTCTGACTTCGTCACCACCGCTATACATAACTATATATTCATTCTTGTAGTGGAGCCCCCTGAGGGTATGCTTTTAGCCCCAGCTTATTTTCGTCCCTAGAATCTTTATAGTCTAACTACGTATACAAAACTAAAGGAAAAATCATAATTTTGTCCTGTCAAATTATTTAAAACAGATCATTTTGCAAATAAAGTGTATCTAAATCAGGGGTGGACAACCTTTTCAGTTGGCGGGTCAAATTTCAAAAATAATATTTCCTGTCGCTTCCACGCACCTAATTTTTTGTTTGTTTATTAATTAAAGTAAACAAGCAAGCGTGTTACAGCTTCGACCACATCATCACTTCCCTGTAGGTGAGATAGTGGTCAAACGCTTGCCTGGTTTAATGGGGACAAAGACAACAAGACATAGGTATGTTATTTTTTGAAGAAAATAAAACATAACTGAGAATCAAACATATTTATTCGACTATTAAGACATATATGTGAGATATTTGACTTTTTAGTGCAGAACTATGTGCATCAAAATTGATCTCGACTGATGTTGTCGTTACACGCAAACAGTTTTCCAGATGAACACCAGTAATTCGTGTTCTAACTTCTGATTTGATGTGCTTCATACGACTAAAATGTTGTTCACACGCATAAGTGTTTCAAAATAGCGAAACCATCGACAGATCATGTTTATAAAACGTAGGATATTTATCATTGTCCAAGTACGTTTTATAGAACTCTTCCAAACCAACTTGATGGAATTTCTCCTTTAACTGTCTATGACAACACATTTCCTAATGTTTCGTTTGTAATCTTCCTTGTAATAAATCATGTCTACCATGAATGGCGTTTGCAAATGCACAAAAAGCACATGATGTTTTTTTTTTTTAAATCCTGAAATCGGTTTCCAAATTTGAGGTTTAAGTCAGTTATCCCCCGCCTCCTGTGTGATGTCTGGTTGCAATGACAGTGTTGGAAAGTGAGTAAAGATTTTTATCCTTAGCTGTTGTTCCCAAAGACCAAGTTTCATTGTAAATGCAAAAATATGATCATACTTTGATTAATTTATTGAGCTTCGCCTTGTAGACGAGTATTAACGTCATTTAGGTGGCTTATTAAATCGACCAGAAATTCAAAGTCGCAAACCCACTCTTTGTCTTCAAACTCTGGGATATTTATTTCTTGCTTGCAAAGAATGATTGTTTTTCTTGCTGCAAATCAACTCTTTTCAACATGTAGGCACGGGTCAGCCATCTTACTTTAGAAATTCTTGGAACTGACGGTGATTCAACACTTCAGACTTAATGAAGATCACTATTTTGACGACCAGTTTCATGACATGATCCATTTTGAGGGACTTCGAACATAAATTCTCCTGATGAATAATGCAATTAAAATTTAGCATTGAAGTATTACCGACTTTGGAGGCTCCATTTTCAATCAATTTTACTCGACCTTTGAGTTTCCCAACCATTGTTGGAGCACCATCCGTTGTTAAGTCCGATAAGTGTTAAGTTGTCCCGAATGGCGATTCAATGTCGATGTATCTGCCTCAATAAGAAATATCGCGACTTAGCAATGTCCTTAAAAGTGGATACAGTTCTGCCGATGCTTCTGTCTTTTTAAAA